GTGATATTTGAAAGCAAAGAAAATTAAATTACAATACTACTGAGAAAATGTACAATAATAAAAATGGAAATGATCTGCTTGATTTGCTTATCAGGATGCCAATACGCCATCAGCCGGCCTGTAGAAACACGCACCACTCGGCGATTTTGCTAGCAATGCGGCCGACGAAAAAAGCGTCGATGTTTGCCCCGAATCCGAGGAACGCTTATATTGGCACTTGAGCAGTGGCGGCGGGGCTGCGAGGTGCTGTCGATTCCAGCTATGCTCATCCGGACTGCGCACATGCGAATACGTGAATCGCGGAGCAGAAGCCGACAAATGCAATCCGTGGCATACAGAATGCGCTTTACCCATCCGGCATGCACCAGCATTATTTTGCCGCAAACGAATGACCACGAAGTCACGGGAATTGACCGGTGGTGGCGAACCACCACCGATCAGTGAAGTTTTCGATTGGTGATGGTGACTTCCGTTCTGACAATGATGAGCATTGTGGCGACGTGATGATGGAGCTGCTAGGGCTGCTTCGAAACGGTGGTGTCGCGCCATGAATGACGAGGAAGTGGTCGGGCTGAAGCTGGATGCACTTCCGACTCCGGATTCCACACAACTAAAACTGCTTAAAATTACACTGGATAAATAAGAGGACGTCATTATTTGTATGGAACAACCAACCCCCCTCCCCCGCCTTGATGATTTGTTCATTCGTTTCGATGGTACTTGCATGTACTAAGGAGTCGAACTTGCCATCAGTTTGCTTCTAAGCAAACTTTAAAAAAAGGGCTTTTAGAAGCTTTACGAGTCGGCGGTTGCTGCTTCCGCTTGCTATTCCTCGAACTGTTTCCAAAGCGTCTTTGCCTCCCAGAAAGGTGGATGTAGCGGAGCCTCTGACAGTGTTTTTACACTAGGTTTCCTGTTTTGACAGAAGCAAAGCACGCACGAATTTCCGGCTTTTAGCAAATCATATGCCAGTGATTAAGATCTTTTCGTAAGAAGCACTTATTGTCCATTTACTTGAAGGATACAGAAGTCAACCGGTGGCTTTACAATCAGAGTAAGTTTCCGCATGCAAAACTTACGAAGGAGTACTGGAGGCTATCATCAAAATGATGACACATATGATAAGCATTTACACGCACTAGCTTCCATGCTTCCTCTTTGCGTACAATCAGTAAAAGTCCGTATTCCTATCAACAAGCCTTAATTAGTTAATGGAATTCTGCTTGAAGGTTTGTACGATGGAAATCTTACCT